GCAGATACCCTGTCCTGACACATTTTACTGCAGAAACCCTGTCCTGACACATTCTACTACAGAAACTCTGTCCTTACACATTCTACTAACCCTGTCCTGACACTTAATTTCTACTGCAAAATTCCTGTCCTGACACATTCTACTGCAGAAACCCTGTCCTGATACATTCTACTGCAGAAATCTTGTCCTGAAACATTCTGCAAAACCCATGAACCAATGTATTGCAGAAACCCTGTTCTGAAATACTCTACTGCAGGAACCCTGTTTGAACCATTGCACTGCAGAAACCCTGAAACAATTAACTGCAGAAACCCTGTTCTGAAAGGTTTTTCTACAGAACCTAAAACCTGTCTATGAAGACTTTACTGCAGAAACTCTGCCCTGATGGTGCAGACACCATTATCTCAATGGAGGAACAAATGTTTGCAGTGTGCTTACGGCATAATGGAGCTAGGCAAACTAAGGCTTAAGCCAGCTTAAAGCGACATCAACAATACAAAGCTTTATTGATAATTGTATAGAGACACAGATAAAAAAAATAGACTCGCTTAAAATCAATCATAAAACAAAAAAAGTTCGGAGAGGATTAAATCAATCAATGTTTGTGTAAATGCAGCTTGTCTGTATATAGCCAGTGAAACATATGATTTTTGCAGCGAATACAAGAGTATCTATCAGACCAGTTTTATGTACACTGTAGTTATGAGATAATAAATGTATATCCTGAAGGACTGCTACAAAGTGTATAAACTTCCTGTATTGAATTTCGTCATTCCTGAAGTTTTATGTTAGTATTAGCAGTTGCCTACTGCGTTGGCTAAAGCCAAATCCGCACTTTTTCACAAGCCTCTAAAGTGCTCAGCAGCAGACAGAAACCCTATAGGCTAGCTAGTTGATAATGCATGCATATATATATATTTGTGTGTTTGATAGACCTAAGGGGAATTAGGAAACGAGTAGCGATATACACAAAAATGCCATGCCAATACCATTCCAAGGTCAAATCATCATGCTTGTGCACGAAAAAATGCCGCCGACTATCATGACTTGCAAACAACCACTCCTTGTCAGGGCTGGTTGAAGATCAAATGATGTCATGTGCTCACTTGTATTCACGTCGATATTAGTTCAAATGACATTTTGCTCCTGTCTATGGGGGGGGGGGGGGGGATCCTCTTTCAAAAACTTTGCAGTTATTAATTCAATTGCATGCCAAACCCGTGTTATTTTGTACATAAAATTTTTGTTTGTCCAGACGAACTTGACAATGAACAGTATCACAAGGCATGATGGACAGAAATTGATCTAAATCTCTATAGGCGTTTTTGCTATAAAATAAAATGTATTTAGTGATGTTATGCAATACATTTCCCCTTTGCTTTTTTACCCATGAACAAACATGTTGTATGCTAAGACTGAAATTCCATGAAACGGATGCTGACCTGAAAGATGGTGATCTATCTCGAGGCAGCAATAAGCACACACCCACAAGACACTGCTTAAATATACATGGATCAGGAAAAACGTGGCGTTTGTCTCTCGGCAATTGTTATGTATGTTCTGCGGGGCAGATTGTCTGCGGGGCGTGCGTCGGTCTTCCATTGTTATTTATGTTGTGGGGCCTGTCTGCTGGGCCTAGTCCTATTAAAGGGGTTCTTTATAGCTCAAAACCAAATACTTTCAGTCAGTTAGTGTTAGTTCTATCTAATATAATGTTCTTGAACAATTATCACATGATTTTTAGCTTTTCCATTCTAATCAAGTATTTTTAGACACATAAACATTTGTAAAACAATTGAAGTCACAAAAAAAGGGATTTATTTTTATAAGAACATAAAGTAAGCCAACTTAATTTACAACAAAATTTAGAGGGCCTATAAGAAGATTACATTTACCGTGAGCCCTGCTGTCTCAATTTAGTCAAAGTGACATTCAATTGTTTCTTTTAATCTAAGAGTTCTGCTGATTGAAGCTTGTATATCAAATGTTGGTCATGTTGTCCGAGTCAAGTTTCCTCTAAAAAACGTGATGGAAATGTGTGTATATCAGCTGCTAGCCCCACTGAGTCCTTATAGAAGTAAGTAATTAAAATGTTGGCGTGGTTGTCTCAGTTTAGTCGAACTGGCACACCACCATTTCATCTCAGAAACATGATGGAATTGTATATAATCGAACTGCTACCCCATTTCCCGAACCTTAAATCTAGTCTCGTTGACACTTTGTTTCCTCAAATCCAAGAGTTCTGACAGAAGCGTGTATATCAAAATGTTGGCCTTGAAGTCTGAGCTTAAGGGTTCCTGTCCCACTGCACTGTGTTTTTCTCCTATATACAGATTAGCCTCCCCTTAACTTCCTTAAGGATTCCTGTCCCACTGCACTGTGTTTTTCTCCTATATACAGAGTAGCCTCCCCTTAACTTCCTTAAGGATTCCTGTCCCACTACACTGTGTTTTTCTCCCATATACAGAGTAGCCTCCCCTTTACTTCCTTAAGGGTTCCTGTCCCACTGCACTGTGTTTTTCTCCTATATACAGAGTAGCCTCCCCTTAACTTCCGTTTGGACAAAATTGTAGCACAGTTGGGCCAGGTCATTTCCATTGACCAGATAATAATTCAGTCCATTTGAGCATATAGTACATCATTCTGAAGTCCGGGGTTCGGATCCTGGACTAGCCATACTGAACTTTTTTCTTCTTTTTTTTTTGCACTCGGAACAATGTGTTGTTGATTATATTTTGTCCATTTCATCTTTATCATATTTTCATAAAAAGTCCTGCAATGTATTCTTTTCTTTTCAGAAATGATTTGTCAAAGCTATATTCATGCCAGGAAATAAAAAATCCAGTACTTTGTTAAAGTTGTGGGCAGTGGTACGAGGATCCTCAACCCTTTCACCCCTATGTAACTTTAATAAACTCAACCATGCATTGATCTGGATGAGTCCACTATGGTCTACAGTGGTGAAAAGGTAAAGTCAAAGTAGCTTAATGCCATCAGTTTTTAATTGGGAATACAATGAAAGGGTAGGTCAACCGCTAGCCTCTCTTAGGCTGTCAAGGTTGTCAGCCATGTCACTATTTCCTTTGAGAAACATGACCAAAGAGTATGTCAGCTGTTTATTTCTTTGGATGAAAAAGTCACAGATCTAGAGCCACTTCATTATTTTCTGTCAGAAACATGATGGAAGAGATTGTCAACTTTTAGCCCGATCTCTGTATGAAGAAAGTCAAGGTGAACACAATCTTTGAACTCATAATTGAAATTTTTCGACCTTTGAATTGGAGGTGCATGTTCACATGTGTCTTTAGGGGTAAATGAGTTAATCATCCTAAATGCCATAAACCAATTTGCAAGGTAAGAAGGTAGGAGTCCATAACACTTGGATTAATAGAGCTTTCAGCCATTTATCTCATTCACCCCTGATTTTTTTTAGACACATTTGAACTCTTCCAATTCACAAGATGGAATAGTTCATTATGAAATTTCAGGGGGTAAATGAGTTCAGTCAGTGACACTTGTATGTAAGATATTTATGCTATAGATTTTACCATCATCAGCAACATTGCCATAAAAACAAGAATCTACGATCTTTCTAACATTTCCTCTTGGTTTCGGAATTAAAAGTCAATATTCCTGTGATCAAAGTTCACAAAAAAAACCACAAATTCAATATCGTATTTAAGGTTTTGTTGATGAAACACTTGAAAAATAAATAAATAAATACCCTCGTAAGCGCAATACTTTTACCTGGCAATGATGTCTCACAGAATTTTTTCTCTGCGAACCAGTTTTGATCGGGACAACCGCGAAATATTAGCCACGCGAAATTAAACAATAATACAGTACTTCATTAAACCCCTTGATACGACAGTGAATATATTCCAAATAAGGCACAATGGGAAAGTAACCTGTCGTGAATTTGGAAGCAAAAGTATAATGTGAACCGGAATCGTGATCCGGTGCCTACTGACAAAGGCTGCAACTTGACATTATAGAGTCAGACCAATTACAAAGAAATGGAATGCTCTCTTATAATGCTGTGTCTAGCTTGTCAATGTCATACAGTAAAATACATTTAGAAGGACCACAAATAAGGCAGTCAGCTTGTCAGGTTTTTTTAAACATGCATCATAGATAAGATTCAAACATTATTCTATTCATGACCCCAGAGAGAACATTTTGCTTGAATCAGCCTCTCTATACAAATCGTTGCTATGGCTATTTGTCAATTTGGAGGTCGCACTTGCAATGCACATCATAGAACGTCTTTTCCACCCAGACGACGTAACAATTTTTACAGTAATGTATAAAGTCGCACATCATCCTGCACAAACGAGATTCCTTGAATGTATCGGCAGATGTTTTATTTATTTTTAGTATTTCTAAGCTTTGGCGACTGCATGCATGTACATTTACTGTTATTTCCACAGAAAATGGTCCATAATCACCTCACTGTTGCCAAGAACTGGTGGTCATCAAAAGAGGAAATAGACACATGTTTCATCATTAGACGAAAAACAGCAGCGGCGTTGTCCTGCAGTAATGCAATATCAAGACAGAATGTTGTTGCGCTGCTGTAAGACAATGTCCATCTCGTGTCGTAATTTACTTTTGTCATGAGTTACATGATTTAGAACTTTTCATTCGATAGTAACTCATCACACCACTGCACACAGCCATGTAGGAACCATTCCAATACGGTCACACCACTTATAATACATTCTCTATCAGACACGATCTCAGTTTTCTTACTTTCTCCGTCTTCAACTACAGTCTTAAAGGTGAGTCAGACAAGAATCAAATGAGATTGCATCGGCAATAAGATTAGTTATCGTGTAAAGCAAGTATCCGTTACACCATGACAAGGAAGCTTAAAGCTAACAACCTTTTCTTGAGATCTATACCGTGCGGGCACAGAAACAAACTTTCTTGTGATCATGACTGAGGAAAAGCTCTGTAAGCATCCCGGAGGCCCTGATTAAGAATACATGTATACCTACCCCAGTATCGTGTCTACCACAATGCCTCTTGGCTCCTCCTTGCTAGTAAGGGACACTAGGATTTTGCGCCCGCTACCGTCATAGTTGGCAATCTCTAGCGTCCTGCGTTTGGCGTCCGTCCAGTAGATATGATTGGACGCCCAGTCGAGGGAAAGGCCGTTAACTTCCTGTATGTCTGTAGAGTCATCAATTAAAACTTACTTTTTAATAAATATCTGTTTAGAATTTTGAAAAACACCTCTTAATTAATTTATACAACATTTTCATCTTAATCAAACTGACCTGAAATGTTTTTCTTAAATAAAACACTAATTAATTTATAACATTTCTGTTTGCTTAATTGAATACCGTCGATTTTGCTTAATATTACTTCTCATTTGTCAGAGGAAAACATGATTTTAACTGGAATGTGACAATAACAATGACAAACAAGTTTTTCAGAGCAGTCAAACTACGGAGGTGACCATAATATATAATGTCCAACTGATATGATTTTACAAAGAAGATTCATCTGTAATAACAGACGTTGAATTGCATAGATTAAATAGCATGGAAAATGGTGCATGAAGAAGACATGATATTAACAGTAAAGTGTTATTAAACAACATGATATTAAGTGAAAAATACTGTAGTAAAAAGACAGTAAATTTTGTTTTTAAATTTAAATTCAATTCCATAATATTCAAATATGTGGAATTTACAATGAATTTAATGTATATTCTGAAGCTTAAATAATCATTACAGCGATACACTTTTTTTTAAAACGCATATGCTCTCACTTAATTCAATTGAGGAAATAGGAGAAAAACATTATTTATACAAATTACGAACCATAAAAAGTTTACTGACCTGCAGTAAGCAGACGAGCATCCTGCCCCTCCAGATTGGCAGTGTAAAGCCCCCGATGGTCAGCACTGATGTCCGACCAGAACAGGACATTGTCCGAGGTGTCCACTGCCAGACCAATGATCTTTGCTAATGGCTGTTAAAACATATAGAAAAGGGAGGTAGTTAGTAACCATGGCAACTATAATTACACTCAACATTTTTTTACTTCTAATTAGTTTAATCAAAAGAATAAACCAAGTAAATAAAATTTACATTTTGATTCATTTTTATAATTATTATCTCGAAACTAGATATATTTCTAAGGGTACATTACAGAGGGCAATAAAAGTCGAAAAATTAACCTGCAATGAAAATATCCTGGAATTCAAGTAATCCCATGTATGCTTCTGAGCAAAAAATGGAAAATCAATATAAGTTGATAAAGTTAGTGTTGCATCCTTTGGGAAATATAACACCATTTATTTAAAAGTGCCTTTCAATCAATGCGTTACCACATGAAAAATTTATAAATTAAAGACTAGAAATATCTGTTAAACATGAATGCCCACTTGGCCCTGTGGCGTTGACATTGGTATTATAAAATACATTCTTATTCAACTTATTCTTATACCTGAGGTTTGTATAAACTTTAATGAAAATCTTTTAGGATTGAAGGCAATTTGAAATAATCATGAAATAAACGGATGGCACATGACAGATATGAGTAATACATAACATGCCCCCTCCAAAAAATTGGCAAGGCCATAACAATTGTAATAGGAGTGGAAAAATGCATGGCCAGACGGGGGTTCGAACCTGGGACCCTCCAAGCTCTAAACGGACACTCTACCAATTGAGCTACCAGGTCATTTCGAATTGACCAAGTCCAGTTCTAATACATTCCTCCCTCCTTTTTCTAAGTCTTTGCCTCCCAAAACATTACTATTACAACCCAGGTTAGAGTATCCCCTTGCCAAGCATTCACCCAGTACTAGAAACAAGGGTTGGTCACAGGCATCAAATGTAATAGGATAGAAAAAAATTGCATGCCCAGTCTGGGGTTCGAACCTGGGACCCTCCTAACTCTATAGACAGACGCTCTCCCAATTGAGCTACCTGGTCGCTGACGATCGACCCAGTCCAGTCCCGCTACAATTCATTCACTTTAAACACATTTATAAACTATGTTCAAATTTGAAAAGAAATTCCCTGTGTCATGACACGCCATTGTCACATAGAAAACAAAACGATGAGCACTTTACCGGTACTTAAATATAAACATTAATGCTAGTGTTGATACCACCACTTAAATAAGAAGTACTAGTGTTAATATGACCGACAGTCGCAGTGTGATACAGTTAACACCATTACAGAGCTGAGAGACTGCTCCCTGTGCTTCCGTTTGAACACCTCGACAGTTTTCTGATGTCCCTCGCATAAAATGTTGATTAATTTTTGTGCCAGCTTTAATTATCTCCTAAAGAAGGCAGATCTTCGTGGCGATTTAATTGGTACCGACAGACGGCGTTCTACAGTGACACGCTTGATTTGACAATGCATATTATAGACCATCAAAGCTGCACAGACCCGTAAGGCACACACCTAACTACGAACAGTCCAGAGTGAGGCTCTCGTATCTGTCATAAACGATCAAAGTCCCATTTCCATAAGGTGTAGTATACCATAAATAAATGTCATGATTTGAAATCTAAATGTTGCTTCAAATTTAGCACAACGGACAAAAATTAGTTTTGAAAGTTATCCATACAAAATTAAAATATCTTCACAGAAACTGAATTAGGGTTGTCTTTTGTACAACATGGGTTTCATTTCGATTTTGTTGTCAGGTTTAGAAATTCTTTCAATTGCCTTTAATTGGTTTCTGTCAGTCACTCAAAGTGTGAAGGATATATATACATCAGATCAGTTCCATTGGTACCGCCTCCATACACGAAACTGATCACTGATGTCTGTTCACATATAGATCTGCTGGGGTAGCAAAATTAGGCTCTTTCCGATTATATATCTATCTGATTTTGAAAAATGATGAAACAGTAACAAAATATTTCTTGATCGTTTTTCAATAAGGATGACAACTGATCACAGAGTTGACTACGGCATTGATCATGTAGTTGACCACTGATCATAAAGTTTGACCATTTATCATAAATTTGACCACTGATCGTAACGGTCCACTACTGTTCATAAAGTTTGACCACTTATCATAATGGTTGACCACTGACTTTAAGGATGACCACTGATAATACAGATGACCATTGACAATAAAGTTGACCATGCACTTATCATAATGATGACCACTGTTCGTAAGGGTTGACTTCTTATTATCATAAGTGTTGAGATATAAAAGATGATCATTTATCGTAAGTGTTCATCAAAGATCATAAAGATGACCAATGGTTAAAAAGGTTGACCATTGATTAAAGGTGTTAAACGCTGATCTTTAAAGGGACCCCTGTGTAATATAAGAGTGACCACTGATCAAAAGGGTTGACCTCTGGTCATAAAAATAACCAATGGCCGAAAAGAATTACCGCTAATTATAAGGGTGAAAGCTGACTCCAACTTGTTATGTAGTGTATGCTATTATCCTCTAACAGCCGGAGAGAGAACATGTCATTATATGGGTGGTATTAAAATAGACAGTATAGCCCTAGGTGAGGTGTTTAAATGTCAGAGCAGGATAGTAAAGGTCAAGTAACAAACGTCATCATTGGTTTCTGTCATTGAACTGTCAGAGAAAAGGGCTTCTTTCCTATTAAAGCAGCAGAGCGGTGTGTGTCACTGGTCATCACAATCTATCCAACTTATCACCAGACAGGTGACACCAGCCCTCACAGAATATCACAACCTAACTTATCACCAGACAGGTGACACCAGCCCTCACAAAATATCACAACCTAACTTAGCACCAGACAGGAGTTACATAGCACCAGACAGGTGATACCAGCCCTCACAGAATATCACAACCTAACTAAGCACCAGACAGGTGTGTCATCAGCAATCACAAGATCACAATTAACCTATAACCTTGCATCAGACTTATACTATCGGCCAACAAGGTATCACAACCTAACTTAGCACCATACAGGATTTACATCGTCCTGTGTATTATTGAGTACTACATGTTATGTCTGACAAGCTGTTGTCAATCATTTTCAAATGACAAGTAAATTGGCAAATCAGTGCACCTATCATCTTTACCATAAAGTCAGATATTTAAAACTGTCTACATGTCTGTGAACGTTTTTAAGCAACGTACCATATAGCTGCTAAAAATAATTCAAGATTTAATAATTATTCCATCTGCTGTGGCAGTGGAAAACATTAGCTGGTGTACAGCAGTGTATATATATATGCATCAGGATCTGTACTTATAAATTGAAAAATATATTTATCTTCTACTGAAATATTTACTCCGATCCAATAACTTCAGTATTAGATAAACGCTAGGCTGGTGTATCTGATGAAAACACCACATTTTAAGAGATAAGGAGTCGAATATGGATAGCCGAACTCTGTAGGCATATCCGCCTGCTCAGGCCGGACGGCTCTGTCTGTTAGACCATCAGCCGCACTACACACACTTTGTCAGCAGGTGCTACAGTCTATACCTGGCACCCAGGGCCAATATCAAAGTGCTTCCATGTAAGCCTCTTTAGCGGTAACCGTAAGATATTTCTCTATTGTCTAACCAAAGCTCTGGAATGTCAACATTCAGAGTTTAACTAGGTTCACTGCCGAAGCCAGTGTTTTAACATCTATGTTTATGCCCCCACAGCGATGCTACAAATTCCATGCATTTTTTATAAGCAGCAGGAAGAAAAGGTTTCGATGCAACAGGTTTGCTGGTACATCAGGTCGCCCCGCTAAAGTGATTCCCATCAAGCTTTTAAAAGAGAAAAACATCCTATTTACATCAATACTACACTGTTAATCAATAAAAACAATTTTAATGTTGAATCAAACAGGAGTTTCCCCGCACTGAAATATTGATACATTCTGTTAGGCTACTGCCTGCTCTCTGGGAGTAGAATGTTATGTGCCAAGATCCTATAGACTGTCTCCTCGATTTCGGAGCGGAGCTGGAGCTTATGGGTATCGGAAGGGGGTTAAATGTTTTGTTTTATAATTACAATTAGTAAAGGACCATTAGAAAATCCAATTCTGCCCCACAAATTATTCACAGAACAGTTTTATAACATGAACGCATGCGTACATGACAGTTATAGTTCTACCACACACAGAGCCGATGTTTTAGCGGAAAGCCATAGATTTAATCTACATTAAAAGCCGTGTGAAATTCACACCAACTTGGAAGTGACTACTCTATACATTGTTCCAATGAACACTATTTCATCATTTTAGAAGTCATATTCTATACAAATCACAATAAACATAAATTCTTGATATTGGTAATCATATTCTTTACAATTACCAATAAACATTAATTCTTCCTATCTGAAGTCATATTCTTTACAAATCCAAATAAACATACAATGCATATCTCTAAATATCTTTAGCCATATTCTATGCAAAACGCAATTAACATATATCTCTAAATATCTGAAGCCATATTCTATGCAAAATGCAATTAACATATATCTCTAAATATATGAAGTCATTATTCTTTACAAATCCCAATTAACATATATCTCTAAATATCTTTAGCCATATTCTATGCAAAACGCAATTAACATATATCTCTAAATATCTGAAGCCATATTCTATGCAAAATGCAATTAACATATATCTCTAAATATATGAAGTCATTATTCTTTACAAATCCCAATTAACATATATCTCTAAATATCTTTAGCCATATTCTATGCAAAACGCAATAAACATATATCTCTAAATATCTTTAGCCATATTCTATGCAAAATGCAATTAACATATATCTCTAAATATATGAAGTCATTATTCTTTACAAATCTGAAGTCATATTCTTTACATATCCAAATAAACATACAATGTATATCTTTAAAAATCTGAAGCCAGTATTCTTAACAATTCCAAATAAACATTATCTCTAAATATCTGAAGTCATATTCTATACAAATCCGAATAAACAATTCTCTCTAAATATCTGAAGTTATCTATTCTAAACAAATACTAATAAACCATTTCTTAATA